AGTTTTGATTGCATGTTTAACGTCCAAATTACTCAAATCACGTAACTAATCATATCCACAATCGTTGTTAACAATCACATAACAACAAATATCATGAATCAACTTTTGTCCCATGAGTCAACTTTACTAAATTTGTAATTTGGTCATTTTAGGTTGAAATCAAAATATCTTACGCTCAAGATGTGATAGAATTATCGAGTGCCCACCTATCGACACATAGGATGCTAGTACACCCGGGATAAAATTAATAAAAAAATGTAATCTCATCTGATAAGTAAAAGAGGCCTAGAGTCTAACCCTTCCTCAATACGCTAGACGCCCAATAAATCCACAATCGTCTGTATAATAAGCTAGGGTTTTCAAAATCCCCGCCATAATTGAACTCCTTTTCACACCGGCGAATGGCGAAAGACGATCACGCCTTGAAGCCTGTCTCCAGCCCGAAACCGGCCCAAAATCCCGCCCCTCTCTCCGAGTCGAAGCTTTCTGAAGAAGCCCACAATGCTAGCAATGACAGTTCACCGGCGCTGTCAAATGTGGAGAGTTCAGTAGAGTTCATAAGGTCCGTCGCCGCGAAAATCGCCGCGCAGCCGTTTCAATTTTCCGATCCCCATGTATGGGGCGTGCTCACTGCCATTTCTGAGGAGGCCCGCAAGCGCCGCCAGGTTTACCCTCCACGAATCTGCGCGTGTTTGTTGAAGTTGATGGTTTGGTTTAATGAAATTTTTTATGCTGCTCTTTAATTTGAGATAAAAATGGTGTCAGATTACTAACCCACCGTTCTCATTTTTAATTCTATGGATACATCGTTCATTTGCAGTATCTGATGCTATGGGATTGTTTGTTATGCAATGGTCCGTTTCCCTTTTCATATTTTTAGGAGCATTTTTTCCTATGTTGCTAAGGATTCATTTGTGTGCCAGGGAATGAATATGCTTTTGACTTCTGACGAACACTGCATTGGTCGGTTGGTGGATGACGCTCGTTTCCAGATCATTGCACCTGCAGTTAGTGCTCTGCATTGCAAGATTTATCGGAGGGTTGGCACTGGAGATATACAGCGAGGATCAGATAACTGTTTCTCTGTTTTCTTGAAGGATTCTAGGTAAAAGTGTTAATCTATAAAGGCTCCACAAATGGGTCTTGGCTTCAACTGGTCTAATCTTTTAAGTCATTACACAGTACAAATGGGACATACTTAAACTGGAAGAAGTTAACTAAGAGTAGCTCTGAAGCGAAGCTATGCCATGGAGACATAATCTCAATAGCTTTCGTTCCTCAACATGGTAGAGTTCTAGTGCCAAAATTTTTCCACAGAAAGATATTAAAATCTGCTGACTTTCATGCTAAACTGCCATTTTGTCATCAATTTCTTTCATTCAGGTTTTGTCACCTCAGCAGTATAAAACTTCATGCAATTTGAGCCAAAAAGTAAAAAATAAAAAGATCACGTTTCAATTATACCGAGATGTAGAGATGTGTAGTTTATGCTGCAGTTCAAGTTCTTGTTTTGTCCGAGGTGGCGCTGCATACCATTTTGCAGATCAGAATCATCTTGTTTATTGTGTTAAGAAATTTTTGGGTCCATTTACATCACATGAAAGCACGCTCATCGAACTTGTGTTTGTGATATTCAATTTTCTTTTCCACGTTTGCAGAAATTGCATTTGCATTTGTTTTTCGGGAAGTCCAAAAATCCTCCTATGTAACTGATGGCAGTTCTCTGAAGAGAAAATCAGGTAATTATTTCAGTTACTAAGTGAGATGGAAATGCTAGCCTTTTAAAAATTCCCCTACAAATATTTGTTTAGAGGATTAGGGCTCTAGATTAGGA